CCGTAACTGCAGCCGTTGTATTGGTTTTGACAGGAGAGTTTCAAAAGAGAGCTAGATCCAATCTCACCAAGCAGAAATTCTTTCAGATACTTAAATTCATTTTGCTGTTTTCGCTCTCTCACCTTAGATCAGCAGTGGACACGAGACTCTTACTTGGTAAATCCTCAAGAAGAACGAAGTATCTAAATCAAGGGTCCCGCCAAAATTTGGTTTTTCACTCTTGATCCAGCTTCATTGCACCTGCGAACGGGAGCAATCGTCTCTCGATCACCCAAAAAGCCGTCATTGCATCAGTTCCCAAAGTCACAGTAAAAACCAAATAATGCTGTAAATCACGAGGGTGTGCAAGCTTGTCTCAATCGAAGTGAAACCCGAGAAGGACCGACAAGATCATTCCTTCCTATCTCCCTACGTTGTGTGCTGTGGATCTGTTTAAATGGCAATCACCACCACGACATGCTGCCATCATGGGCGACGACGTGTGGCGAAACGTTATATCAAGATGAGCGCTGATACGGAGTGCGGAGACGTGCAATTCTGGTGATCCCGCGAGGATCCCGAGGGTGCACTTGTTCGAATGGCTCCATACTACATTATTTCACATTTCAGCAAAGACCATGAGACGAGCCCATTGCTGCAGGCGTTTTATGTTGTTGACAAGCAGCGTGTAAACACTTCCTGTGAACCACCTACTGGTATAGATCATCTCTAACGATGTTGGCGCACTCTGCACCATTCCTCCGAATCCACTTTCTGCGTTTCAAATTTAGAAGCAACAACCGTTTTTGACGGAATTCAAATTTCCGGCGATCAGAAAGTTTTAGGAGAACTTTTGAACTCCTGCACATCAACCTGATGCCTTCCTCCTTCAAGATTTCGCCTGTATCTGGAGAATTGGGCAACGAGTAAGCGCAAAAGCTTCTTTTCTTCCTTCTGGCTGGTTCGGCTGCCGATAAAATTAAAAAGTTTGAGTGCTCTCCACTTCTTCATAACATTTCGTTATCCTTCTCTCTGTGCCTACATCCACTTTCTATATCTCAGTCCCAACATAGCTATTTGGAAGGTTTCGGATTTCAAATGTGTGAACATGATAGTGTAGCCATTTCTCCTCCTGCAGACGTTTTAGCTATTTCCCTTCACATTCCTTTCGAGCTTTCATCTTCCGCTCTAAACTCTTGTGTGACTTTCCTCCTTTTTATTACCCGCCTCTCTCCAACCAATGTCCAATTTTCCCTTGTCGAGAACACCTTCGTATGGAAAGTCAAGTTTTATTCCTTAAGCTGCTAGAAAATCATGTCGCATTTTCATGGTTTTTGAACTCCAACACTTTTTCTTTGTAATTCCTACTTCTCTAAGTCGTACTGAATCAGTTTGAGTAATTATTAGATTGAACTATGAACTATACATCGCGCAGAACATTGTTGCTAAACATACTTGTTTACGTGCTTCCACAATGGTCGGAATATGTCGATTGTCGAAAAAGTCATTATTCTTCAAGGAAAACAGTTGAATGCACATTCGCTCTACAAATTAGTGGGACGGTTTCTATATGCCATATGTTACCACTGGAGAAGCTCCTGCAAACCTTTTCTAACCAGACCACCTTCTCTAACCACAGGATCACTCATCTGCACCCGCAGAAGAGTTCATGGAAAACTATTAATTTTACGGAGGTTATAATTTTTGAACTATCGAAGTCTTGTTAAAGAGCTCTCACAATATCTCCTTCATTTGCTGAATTTACTTCCCATAACTGGTTTGATGTGAATTACCTTGCCGGAAGCATCAGCTTTTAACGGCGATGATGCAAGAAATGATGAGATTTAGAGAAATTCTGTTAAGCATTTGCAAGGTGAGGACAGAAAGTATCATAATTTTGCAATTTCGAGAGGATGGGGCCAAAGGGACAAGGTAGCAGTGCAGTGGGAAGCGAAACTGATTGAATTCCAAGGAGTGAGTGATCTAGAAGGAACAGCAAACTGGATGGCCAGATTCATCATCTGGAAGTGAGTGATCGCTTTGGAAAACATAAGATCC